TTTTTTTTTCATTTCAATCATCTGAGCTCTTCTACTTTTCCCTTCCTTCACTTTAACTCTAGCTATGACCTATATTGTTTGGCATTTTAGTTTTAGCGTTTTTAGATTCGATTTTTATCGTTATATTCTCCAACTTCTCTTGATTCCACTCTCCTTGCCCCGCCTTTATATTTAGTTCTGTCCAAACTAATCCTCTTCTTTTTTGTATGTAAGTAGAGTTTCGAGACTACCAGTAAATCAGTAATATGAGATGTATTTACCCTATTTCGTAAAAGGTGATGATTGACTGGTAGTAGAATTTCCCACAATGATATGAGTGGAGTTGACGTTTACATTGAATTTCACATAGCCTTGCTTTCCCAAAAGTTGTTCTAATCCAGGATGGATTGCAGTTTCGACCTCGCAACGGTCTTATCAAAACCCCCAGCGGGAGTCGAACCGTGACATTACAGAATGTGAGCTTGACACGTCAACCACTCGAGCACTTTTCCACGAGTGCACCTGGGTCCCAGGGCAGATGTACATTTCGAGGAAGGCCGCTGGGGGTGCTAGAGAGACCTTTGCGAGGTGGAAACTTCAGTCCACCCTGAATAAGAACAACTTTTGGGAAAGCAAGACTATGTGAAATTCAATGGAAACGTCAGTTCTACTAATGTCATTATAAAAAAATTCTACTACCAGTTCTTCATCACCTTAAACCAAATAGGATGAATACTTCGTATATTAATCCTTTTCTGCCTGAATGTCTTTAAGAGTTAGGCAAGTTTTACGGATTTCATCCTTCATAGACCAGGCAGCATGAAATCAAAGTTTTCCTCGATTCTGTTTTCGTCTTCCTTTCTCCTAACTAGAATGTCGTTATGCAATGAAGCGCTAAAGCTTGCATTATATTAACCCAAAACCTGTTCTTAAGGCGTATTTAGTTCTTAATTGTGTTTATCTAGGGCGACATGATATACATGAGTATTATTCTCTATAACTCAAAAATAATAATAGCAGATTTTGTAGAGACTCAACCGAAATTCTTCTCTATGCATAAATCTGGTTGCTCAAAACTGGACTACTTTTCTACCTGGTGCTTCTTTAACTTACCTAAATCACATTCTCACCATCCATATCTAAGCCCACCAATGACTAATTATAAATCCCCTCAACCAACTTTTCAATATTTATGTCTCGTAAAGAATCAGCGAAGAAGAACACCCAGCCGAAGCAGTACCTCCAAGGTTCAAGATCGTCAAATCAGGTTATTCAGTATAAGCTTATTCAGAAATTACGGATATACTCGAAAACCATTTATTTCGAAAATAAGTATTTTCGCCTATTGCAATTGGAAAACACATCCTTGCTCATTTGGACGTGAATTGCATCTCCAAAGAAAAAATTGGTTAGAAGCAATTCGTGAATTGGTCTTACCGATAGCCAAGGGAGGATTTTCGCGAAGTAAAGACTGTTGCATTGTGCCTGGAAGTACCTGGCTCACCGCCATACGACCCCGATAAACCTGTATTAGGCATTCGTCTGTCATGTGGCAGACAATGTTAGAGCAAAAATCATACTTTACGAAGAATCACATCAAATATACTAGGCCAAGAAACTAGGGGCGGCCCAATGCACTCACTCACAATCACACTCACTTATTATGGCTAGGAATCATTTGCATATATTATGCGTAGCATGCATTCTTGTAGATGGAGGAGATTGATGCTTTAAAGAAAGGGAATGAAGAGGCAAAAGTTCCTTTTTTCATTATTAAGTAGGCTTTCGAGACTACCAGTAAATAAGATATATGAGTTGTGCCCACCCTATTTCGTTAAAGGTGATGAAGGACTGGTAGTTGATTCTTCCCACAATGATATGAGTAGAGCTGACGTTTCCATTGAATTTCACATAACCTTGCTTTTCCAATAGGTTCTCTCATCCGGGGTGGACTGCAGTTTCGACCTCGCTTAGATCTTATCAGCACCCAAGCGGGAGTCGAACCATGATAGTGCAAGCTCGACACGTTACCCACTAGGCCACTTTGTCACGAGTGCCCTTGAGTCATGGAGCACTGGATTTTCCCAAAATTATATGAGTAGAGCGGACGTTTCCATCGGGTTTCACAAAGTTATGCTTTCCAAAAATGTGTTCTCATACAGGGTGGACTGCACTTTCAACTGTTGTTTCTTTGCCTAATTAATTGAACGTATGATCATGCAATTTTTTTACGTGTGTTATTGCGTATTGTGTGTATCGAAAATACAAGTCGTATGAGGTTTAAGAGTCCTAACCAGACTCGAATCTATTCAAGCTTTTCCTTTTACTTAGTAGTTCTTTCTCTTCTCCGGCTTCCTGTATCTCCTTGGCTTTATCAAACAGCCAGAGAATACCTTATGGGAAGCAAGGCGATGGGAAATCAGTGCAATTCTAAAATATACTCATGTCATTGTGGGTAAATTAAATAACCAGTCCTTCATCAGCTTGACGTAAATGAGCCGAGGACTTCTTCGTACAATCCAGCATTCATCGGTAATTCTCCTTCATGTTACTATGTAACCAATTCACATCTTCCTTCCAGCAAACATCCTCTATCAAATGCAACTTTTTACTCTTGACTCAACCAGATCATCTGATTAGCCCTTATTCACCAAGACGGTAGCTGAGCGCCTCTACTCCGCAGTAACTCCTTCCAACGGAGTTACTTCTTCTCGCCTGGCATCTAAGCCATACCAGTCAGTCGAAGAACCTTCGAGGAGAAGTGAACCGCCCTCGCCTAGCGTCAGAAGCCAAGTAAAGTCTTTCTATATCAGTTCTTTTGAGTTAGCGTCTTTAATTTTTGAGCCCATCTCCATTTTTTTATTAAAGTGCTTGATAAGGCGGTTCGAAGTTCGGATCTCTCAGAAGACTACGGTAAAGTCATCGT